ATTCTCAGTCTACCCACAGATATCACTTTCTAGATGGATACCACTCCCTTCTCAGTACTCTCTGGTATTTTAGGATTGTTATTATAAACTGCCTATACAAGAATTACCACAAATACATGACCGGTCACAGCATACCCAATACAGCCCAGGAGACAAAAAATCAAACCCAGGTACCGATGCTACAGCAGGGTCTGTCACCGGAAGACCCGCCCTGATATGTACGATAAGCGGGGTAGTCTACCTAGTGTTGCGGCCAATAGGACTCAGGACAGTTTCTACCTTCCGAATATTTGGATTTTTTTAACAAGTGAACAAGGGTGAGGTTGGATTTGCTGAGCCGTAATTTCCATGGCAGTGCTAAGTTAAGCCAATGAATGTGAAGACATCTCGTGTCTTTACGATTTTCCAACCTAGATGTTGCGCTTTGAGGGGGGGTGGAATGCGGGAGAGCTAAATTACAGCGGCTACCAATGTAACATTGGAAGCCCCCAAGATTGTTCGCCGTTCTTTCCTCCGAGTCTTCAGCAATAGTAAAACCCGATATTCGTTCCTTTTAATTCCCTTATCCTCTTCCTTTTCCCTTTCTCTCTAAGAGGAAGGAGGGGGATCTTGGATAGCATAGGAAGTTATTGAAATAATCGGGAATACGAATGATGAAGTTATGGCTACCAAAGCATGACCACTGGCAGCTTCAGACATCTCGACCAACATGGAAGCCAAGGCGACCTAGACTGCCACCCGTCGCCCAACGCCAGGTTTCTATTGTAGTGACAATATTGGATGCAAGGCTGCTACACATGTACCTAGCGCGCCGTCGATCCGGACCACGTGCTGCTACTGCAAGGCTTGAATGCATTCTCCGCTGGTACTGCTCACAGACTGACATTGAGGAAGCCCGATAAGCAAGCGTGGTCCTGACGAGCCAAGTTTCTTCCTTATCAGCTGAAGCTACGACGCATATCTCTTGGCTCTGATGCCGAGCTTCATAGTACAGCACCAGTAGCTAGGACAGGGTTAGAGCACCAGAGTACTCCAAATGGTATCAGATTGGAGTACAACGAAACACCCGTATGCGCGCAACGGATACACGACTCGCTGAATGAATGGCCTTATCTACAACTTGGCGATGCCGTGAGACCTGGGGTTTCCCGGCTCAGGGTGGATCAATAATTGTTATCGTGATCTTGGCTCTTGACGTCAATTCGCGGCCTTGTTCACCTATCAACTTGACAAGATTGGCTGACGACGCACGAGCTGCTTAGATATAGGACTCCAAGGCGTGCTTGGCTTCGTTATGGGAGCACGATTATTGTCTTGGCGGACGCGAGGATGGAGATATCATAAGCAATGCCCTCTCTCGACCGCATGCGTATGCAATTAGCTTTGCTTTCTTCCCAATTTCTCCCAACTTCGTAAACGAACTGAGCCTTGAGAGTGATACCACTCAGTCTCATCCACGGCATCACTAACGGGCTACGAGCATCGAAGTAGAGACGAACTACTAGAACCGATTGTCGCAGTGTTAGGGTTTCTACTGACGATCTCAATGCCAATTCGATAGCGAACTTCTTTGGTATTACCGAGGCCGCAGTCTCCACCCGATCCATCTCGAACAGACAGGCCAAGAACGGCGCGGTGCGTGTTATAATAGCACCACTCTTCGATTCTACCAGGAACAAGAATAGAACGGCATACGGAGAGAGAGGATTTAAGTAATTGACACAGAAAGAAGTTTATAGTAAACTTACCCCGTCGTCAGAATGAGTTCGACGATTACGCCGGTCACAGAATGGCCAGACTATAGCGTCAATCCCCAAGGCGGCGACCCGATCACACAGGATCTCAACGCACCGTACGACAAGGGCGATCTATGTTGGATATTGGTCTGCACTATCTTGTGTTGGCAGATTACTCCCGTGGGAATACCTCTTTTCTTGCTAGAATCATTTGTTGTCTATCTGAGCCAGTTTTACTCCCCTTCCACTCGATGCACTTCGTCTCAGCAACTAATACAAAGCGCAGGCTATCGGCTTCCTATATGCCGGTATGCATAGACGCAAATCAGCAATGACGATGGTGTTTCAATCCCTATTCTGTGCCTGTGCCTGTGGCGTCCAGTTCTGGGTCTACGGATACTCATTATATCAGTCACATACAACGAACCCGATCTTGGGAGACCTGAGCCTGGCAGGCCTCAGCAACGTGCTTGCGTACCCATCCATGGCGAACTCGGATATCCCCGATCTCCTATACGCCGCGTTCGGATTCACGTTCGTCACTGCCACGGCCATGATTCTTGCGGGCGCGATGCTTGAGCGCGGGCGCTTGTGGCCTAGCATGCTGTTCTTGCTCTGCTGGACTACGTTCGTTTACTATGTGTGAGCATATCCCTTCTCTCGAGCATTCCTTATTACTCGAGTTCCCTTTATTGGGGCTAAAGATACCTCTATAGTTAGGAGGTGACCTAAAAAACACATTGATTTTATTTCGTGAAGTGTGCAAGTACATATCACAGCTAACACGAAACTCGCCCTCTCAGGCTTGCATACTGGGAATGGAATCCATCCGGTTGGCTATACAAGCTCGGCGTATACGACTTTGCCGGCTCTGGGCCGGTACACATAGCGTCCGGATTTGGAGCATTAGCCTGGTCCCTGATGTTGGGGCCGCGAATCCCCGAGTCACTTACATCCCCCCGGAAAGCAGCTATCGTGCATTTCAAACCGCACAATCCGCTTCTCGTTGGCCTGGGAACCGTCCTTATCTGGTTCGGCTGGTTCGCGTTCAATGGCGCCTCGACGGCCAACCTATCGCTGCGCAGCATCTACGTGGTAGTGAATACAAACCTCGCGGGCTGCGGCGGCGGCCTCGGCTGGCAGCTCCTAGAGTACCTCCACAGCGGCAAGTTCTCGATCGTCGGGTTCTGCTCGGGTATCATCAGCGGACTCGTCGGCATCACGCCTGCTGCAGGCTACGTGCCCGTGTACGTCGCCGCGCTGATAGGATTCCTAACATCTGTCGCGACATTCTACATTAACAGGTACAAGCACCTGATCTCCGTCGACGAGGGCCTCGACATCTTCGCGATCCACGGCATGGGCGGTATTGTAGGGGATATCCTGACGGGCTTTTTCGCCGCGACCTGGGTCCCGGCCCTCGACGGTGCGAGTGGCAATACTTATGCTGGCGGCTGGTGGGAGCGCCATTGGAAGCAGATGGGGTATCAAATCGCCGCCGCACTGACATGTGCGGTATGGTCGTTTGTAGTCTCATGCATCTTGCTTTTCGTCATCAATCGCATCCCGGGCTTGCATCTGCGTGTGCGCGAGGAGGACGAGATCATGGGGCTGGATTCGAAGTACCTCTCAGATTTCACGCATCATGATGAGAGCGGGATGACGACCGTAGCGACTTTCGTGGAAGGGGTGCCACAAGAGGTGTCTAAGAAGGATTGATTAAAGGGGGATGGGGGGTTCCGCGGTTGGTATAGAAACGTGGTTGTCTAGTCATCTTTGTATTCTATCTTGTGGTATTATAACTACTATAGGAAACATAGATCGCGAACTTTTTTTTATAAGAAATTTTCTATGAGGATGAGTAACAAGGTCGTGAAACTTTTCGCGTGATGGCTCAGGAATAGTGAGTCTCAGCCGATGAATTACTGAGACAAAGACCCCCCAATTTTCAGGGACCGAATCCGGTGACCATATGGAAACGAGAGGCTATCTTTTCTGTATTATCGATACTCTAACATATACTCTATAATTCTAGCTCAGCACGATGTTTTTTTTTTTTTTCCTATTGTGGACTGTGCAACTCTACCTTAGAGGCGTTAGTCGCCACGGGGTATGGGCTTCGCTATTCAATAAAAAAAAGGAGGATACCTAATAATGGCCAAAGACCATCTAGCTAATCCATGCTTGGATAGCTTCGTTGTGGGCAATGCGGCGCTTGACATCGTCGCGTTCGGGATCCCGTACAGGCTCCTGAGCGAGATGCGGAGGCTGGAGCCAGACGCCATGTTTCAGACGATCGGGCTAGGCAAGGGGAGTCAATTCGGATTATAGGCTGCCCTAGGCTATCCCTGTCACGAGCCCTATACTTATGGGTAGGTAATAGGCCATGTTGTTGCGCGAAGGCCTCTAAAACACCTTCCTACGTACTACCTACTATATACAAGAACAGTCTCTTTGTTCTGAGGCCGTATGGCAATCCCAGCTATACTGGCCAGTGTTCAGAACGGTAGGGATCGCAACCACTAGTCTCGTAATATTGTAACTCATGTTACTCACATGGTCGCTTTTTAGGCTGGTGAGGAATAGAAACGATATATAGCTGAGATAATAGCAGCCATATATATATAATACGTAGGCAGACATAGATACCTAACAGTATACAATTATCGCCTTCATAGATTGCTTATTTACTTAGATGCTAAGAGTTGATAACTTTATAAGCTGTCGGTACATATTCAGTCAGGTACGACTGTCTGCTATGGTTTTGGTTCGTCAGACAATCACACGGCTGCGAGAGGAAATACTGTCCTAGCATACATAATTGAGTAGTTGCCTAAGACTCAGTCATATTGAGCTGGTGGAGTGAGAATTACAACGCCATCAGCATCTTGTGATGGGCTAAAACCAAGTTCTTGGACCGGCCAAACGTCGATATCCTTAAAATGATGGGCCAAGAACCGTAACACTTCTGAGCGGAAAGTGAATTGGGACAGCTTATAATAGTTGCAAATGGTTTTAACAATATCCTACCTACTACGGTAGATTTACCGTTCCTCTAAGGGGTCGGTATGTTAAAGTTCTGGTTAGTCCTAATAGTTTGCTGTCAAAGATAGAAGCGAGAATTTAAGCTTTGTAAAACAGTATGAGAGAACTAAATGACAACACATGTGCTACATTCTTTCCCTCTCCTTTTTCTTCGCTCTAGAGAGTGAAATAAAAATAATAAGCTGACTGAGGAGAGGCAAAAAAGGGTACTCCGTGCACCGATCCGGACGGGACTCGAACCCGCAATCTTCACCACCGGAAAGTGACGCCTTACCATTAGGCCACCGAACCACGATGATCAATTGCTCGCTATTTACCATATTGGTCATTGCCATCTGTCTGCTGTCGGCGCTTTACAAGCTCGAGTGCGAGGTGTGATCCCCTTGAATTGCCTCCCTACTTGTCACGGGCTCTAGGTAGGTCCCGAATCCTTGTTGACGCACGAGGAGCCCTAACTACTACTTCTAATGGCTAGATATCTATACACAGCCCCTGACCTTCAGTACGACGGCACGAAAAGGGGCCTCTTGTAAAATGATAATCTGAATTTTGCTGCTACGGTATGTTTACATCAAAGCTAGATTTATTACTTATTCACAGTTGCGAGGTGTTTCAGGTTTCAAGCATGCAGCTTGTTGCCTATCTGCGGACCCAGTTGTGTATGAGGAGGGCGGGCTAGCTAGGTGCATACGGCGTAAATCCTTACACATCCGTGTACAATAGTTGATGCCCGATGCTTTTCACGCCGTGAGGCCTAACTCCATGCCATGGACTGTCCACTTTGGTGTTCTGGGGTAGGCTTCGGGTGTTTTTGGGACACCATTTTCACATGGCAAGCACGAACCGTGGGGTGCCGATTCTCTTGATGACCCAGACCTGCGCCCCGGATCCTTCGCCCTCTTCCAACTTTAGCGATTGATTGGCTCAACTTTGGCACTCCCTTATATGTAATGCAGTATTCCTGCATGAAAGAATCCCTACAGCAGTTCGTTGCAAAGGGATTGGGGCCGAACACGAGGGGCATGTATGAAGACCCATACGCTGCAGATAGATGCTGAGGATACGCATGGCAAGATCATTGGTCGGCACTGAGTGGCTTGCTGATGTCAAGGCGCGCTTCGGAATTGAGGGCTCTCTCGGTGGGGTGTCGCTCTGCCATTCGGTAGACGGCCCGATACCAGGCACCTGGGCAGCCATGCAAGGCTAGGAATTGGCAAACCATCGCATGAGAATTCATACATGCATGAATAGAATACCAATTGTCAATGGATATTCTGAAGAGTTTGTTTGCATATCGACACATGCGCGAGGATAGGCAGAGCCCCGCACCACCACACCGTTGGGCTGCCTACAGTCCTAGTATTTGGAGACGATCGAGAGGCGCTCGTGTCGGAAATTCCAGGCTAGCTAAATTTAGTTTTCCGGAAACAAATTGCTTGCATTTCCCTAAACTAGTGAGGGTATCACAAGATGCCACTCGAAAACCGGTGTAAGAGCGGTGAGCCTGGATTGATGCCCAAGCAAACAGCCGTGGCATAATCCGTGTCATGACTGATGCTGATAGACGCGTAGGCGTCGGCGTGCGCGCCCTCTGCCTTAATCAGAGCTACAAGCGGACCACTTTGGGATCTCGATGTTTCACCGTCTGGCCCCGACCCTAGTTCCTGCCCTTCCTCCTGACCTATCGCAGGCCCTCCCGTCCGCTCGGATGTGGGAGGCCCCGGCGAACTGGTGAGGACAGCGGCCCGTAAGATGGCTATACTCTGGAAGGTGAGGCGGCGGTGGGGGTGCGCCTTGATGACTGCCTCTTTGGCCGCGAACCTGGCGCGTCAGGCAGTAAGCACGTGCTTGGGAGCACACACATGTGTGTATGTACGCGTGTGTGTGAAATTGAAATTGAAATAGTCAGCTTTCTCACCTGCCGGCCATGAATTCCACCGCTCTGGTGAAGTTGGGTGCGTCGTGGGATGATTCCGTGTCTCCGACACTCTTTTTCGGTGTAGATCGGGCATCTTGGGAACTTTGCGCCTTCGGGTCAAGGATGCACCGTAGGATACTTGATGTAGTGGGAGTTTGGATCTCCTCGGACCTTAGGATGCGACGGACGAATTGAGGGCCCAGTCTGCCCTTTAGGATCCGTCTGACCCTTGCGACGCGACAGATGTCATTCCCTATTATGAATGGTAAGTTCGGGGTGTGTAGCATAATGCTGATGGAAGATCTGTAGGTGATCGCGTGGATTACATAGGCTTCTGACGCGCCGCCGTAAGGACATGTTTCTTATCGATTTGGTGATGCGCATTGCCCCACAGCGACGGTTCGGGGCAATTTATCAGGATGGCCGAGTTGGACATCGCATATAGATCAGGATTTGTCTTATTGCGAACTACTTAATCAATACAGATGCTGCGCTTTCTCTCTACCTTAAGGCTAACGTACTTTATTATTATTGCCCATCACGTGTGATCTTGCACATTTGATCCCCTCCAAAACAACCGACCAGTAATACGCCATTTCATATCCAGCTGTTTCACATTGACGTCATTCATTACATACTCATACACTGCCCACGAATATTCTCGTCTGACGGTTTTGGTTAACACCACCGTGAATGCGGATGCGATTGACAATCTTGAGGTCCACACGGTATCGAGGAATAAAGTGATCTCTGTAGAAAGTGTGGGTTTCCTTAATTGTCGGGTAGAAGAGGTGCTCTCTCAGCGTCGCTCTCTCGTGGTTTTCCTGTCGTGGCAGGTACAGCAACCACCATGGTTGCGACGAAGAGCACAGCCATGATGGTAAATGCGAAAATCCATTGCAACGCGATGATCTGGACGAAGAATTGTGAAACGCCGATAGCGGCTGAGAGAACCGATAGGTTAAAGCCCATCGTATAGTCCTACACGAGGTTAGTACAGTCAGGCAACCATGAAGGGGGGTCATACGCACCTTATACACAACGATGAAGAACAGTCCATAGACCAGAATGCTCCAGATAAAGATGTTGCCGAAGATCCGAGCGACTAGTGTCTGCGGATTAGGCACCATAATGGCGCCATTCCAGTAAATGGCGACGAACGTCCAGGCAAGTGGTCCAGACACAACTGGTAGGTGAATAAACCGAGCATATGCATTGTGGCGGAAGTATAGCGAGGACAAGTTGATGAAGTTGAGGATAACGATGAGCTCAGCCCAGCCGAATAGAGATCGCACGAACAGCATCACGAAGGCGAAGTGGAACAAGTTGTTGAGAATAAAGTGGCTGCCCACCGCGCAGGCCTCATTGACACGCTCGACAGTGCCGGAGAAGAGGTGTGCAATGTAACCACCTTGTAGAACGAATAGAACGATCCTAGCCAAAAGGGTTAGATTATCCTTATTGGGCCAACGAGAATATTGCGGCTTCTCACCAGTAGATGCTGGCAATGATGTGGTTCATCCGGAAGGCCGTGTGAAAGTGGTCATTCTGCCTCCAGATTTTACGTCGTGGCCATACGCCATCGTCGGGGCTGTTGAAGGTATAGTAGAACGAGACGATGATGGCGAGTAGCCAGCTAGTGATTGTCAAGATCTTGTAAGTGATAACGGTGTTCTTGGAGTGGGATTCGCGCTTGGCGAAAGGATTCACTATCGGTAAGCAAAGCAGCAGCAGCAGTTAGCAATCTTGCCCAATCACTTGATCCTTGGTTATCTCGTGTGAGAGTGTGGACGGACTTACTCTGATGTACACGTTCCATTGTGGCTGACAGCTATGGCTTCTCTCGACTTTTCCAATTCTGTAGATTGTAGAGAACACCGGCTGAGCAGGGAAAGAAAGAATGAACAGAAAGGTGCCAAATTACTATAAATGTAGCTGAGTTCCTAAAAACAGAAAAGAGCCGGCACGGACAAAGAAATTAGTCTCAGGTATGACGATACGGGTGTTCCCTGCTTAAATGACGACAATGAATTGGCGATGCACTACAGCTTCGACTGGATCTAGGTACCTGCCTAGACCTGCCACCTCTCCCGCCTGGACCTTGCCCCCTGCTACTTTAGGTAACGATCTTGTACAGCAGTCCCAGTCAAATTTACGTATAACGCCAAGAATTCTAGCAACGTATGAACAGTAAGGCGTTGTACTGTAATACTTAGGACCACCTACACATTTAGCGTAATCGACTGCTATATAGCAAAAACAGGGTGCTATAGCTACCTAAGCTTATAGCGGTTGTTACTATCTTAACTACCTACAACCACATACCTTTGCTTCCGAAGTATAAAACAAAAAGGCTGTTTATATATAAATAAATACTTAGCTATCGGAAGTAGTAATTAGAGATCCTTATACATCAACAGGTATTCAGGACCTACCTACCCATACATTGCTATTCGTACCTAGAAGTGGTTGACTACGCTAAATTTATAGGTGGTTCTAAGTATTACAGTACAGCGCCTCTTTGCTCATACGTTGCCAGATTTCTTGGCGTTATACGTAAATTTGACTGGGACTGCTGTAGGGGTGGATTTACAAAGATGCAGGTGGTATAAACTTGGTAACTTAGATTAACCTGAACTGTTTAATCGCAGCATGAGTATTAATTTTAAGTTTAAATAATGTATACATATAATTTAAATAGCTATATTAAGGTTACTGAAGAAGGTAGGAAGTGAGGCGCACGAAACTAGATAAAGCAGCAGGGGACGAGGTCCAGCTGGGAGAGGTGGCAGGTCTAGGTTGGCCCAGATCTAGGTACATGGTACCTCAGTGTCTATCCACCACTGTAAAACAGCGGTGGAGTTGCACTAACGGTCGTGGGTTTGCGGGGAAGCTACCTACCAGGTAAGAATGGTGACGTCGGCTCGACCCGAATCTGCCCCGCGCTGGATCACCTCCGTATTCTCCACCGGTACTCTGTACGTCCTTCGATCGGGAATCAACTATAATTTACCTATAGGCTACATGTTTGTTTTCTGGTGCACCGATTTGTACGCTATGAGCATCTATTACACTGAATGCCTAATCTATGTGCTGACAGTGAGGCCTCTGGCACTGATGTTGCCATACATCGATCGAATGGAATGTAGGACTTTGGAGGGGTCTGCCTACCCTGCGCCGCAAACTGGCATGTCATTCAATCGTGGACAGACGCAAGGGATCGGCACTGCGCAAATGCGTGACGAGACGACTTAGACTTCCCTTCCATACTTGTTAGTTTCTGCAGCAATGGAACACGGTCTTACCGGTGATACCAATCACGATCCTGCGCCTTGGCGTAATGAGTTGGCAAATGGCATCGAACATTTGCGTA